GTTAATTCAGGCCTTTTTGATTACCTTCCTAAGTCTCGACTGCTCCCATACACTAACACTTGTTTTTTGTTTACTTCTGAACTTTGTGCTATGAAATCTACAAGTCATCTTGAGCGCTTGTATTAGAACATTGACCCTACTGACAGAGTCCAGAGGTGCGCTAAATACTGCTCGCTCATCATCACACATCAACACAGGCACTACTAAGCCCAATTCTCATCTCTACATATAATGAACCTCCTGAGCGCTTTCAGTAGTGGCGCTTAGCTCGTTGGACCAAGGTGAAGCCTTCATTAATTTCTTTCGGTAATTAGCGAAATCCCACATTTCTCCCTATCTCCCTTATCTCCCGTTTCTTCTGAAGCTTCCTGCTCTGAGCTCTTTTTGACTCACTTGGCACCTTCTGATTCAGATTCTGCCTCTGTACTTTCTAAATTTAATCCCTCCACCTGCCAGCTTGATCCTGCCCCTCCCTCCCTCATCAAACCTGCCCATTTATAATCTCATGCCTGATCTTCCACTTCATCAACAAGTCCTTTGTATCTGATTCTCTTGCTCTGCTCCTTAAAATTACTGTGGTGACACCAATGCTAAAAAAAAAATGGCCTTGATCTTCCTGACCTTTCAAACTATCAGCCTATTAACAGCTAGAAAGAGTGCTAGCCACTCAGCTACAGAACTCTCTCTTTGAGCCTTTCTAGTCTAGTTTCTCTCCACTGCATAGCACTGAAACAGCTCTTGGAAGCGTCTTTAATGATCTCCTCACTGCTGACTCTGGTGCCCTCTTCTTGTTCCGTTAGACCACAGTGCAGCCTTTGTGACAGTGAATCAAGAGATTCTTCCCTCACCGTTCTTCCAGTGGAACTATTGCCACCACTCTAATGTGGGTCACATCCTATCTCTTGGGCAGAATTTATGTTCTTTTGAATGACAAACATGTATCCTCTATCACCCCATGTAACAAGTAGTTCATCAAGGCTAGGTTTACGGTCGCCTTCTGTCTACCATATACAGTATGTTCACATAATTCAACACCACATTCTTAATTTCTACAGTTATGTTCTTCACACATAGTTTTATGTCACCTACATAAAAGAACTGCATGTATTTATGATTTCAAGTTTGGTTTGAAATATTTTTATACCACGTTCTCCCAATTTGGTCATTTGCTAATTCCCAGCCACTAGCTATGTTTCCCCTATCACACGACAGCTACCAACCATGGAGGAAGAAGGTTAACATGTTCTTCGTCCAAGATAGATGAAACTGCTCCTCATGATACAATTGAAGGAACACAAATTGTGTACAGAGGGCACACTTGAAGGAAAGTGCTACGTGCCCTCTTCTACACCTTTCCACATTATGTTGCTCTGATCGACACGTAGGAGATTAATGCCATGCCTCCCACCTAGAGAGCACGGCCAATTTTGCTGTCTTGGACTCCTGGGCCATAGACGGCTATGTCAGTATTTGAACTTTGAGATCTCCTGATGATCAGACGAACACTCTTCTGTTGCATCCCTCATAAGCCCAAGTCTAACTCTCTTAACTTAAATTTAAATAAAACTGTAACCCTACTTACTAGAACTTCTGAAATATACATTTTTAGATTCTGTTGTTTTGATGCAGGGTGTTTGATAGCCAGGATGTTATCTGACTAGTGTAATCTCACAGCTGTTGATTTCTACAATTTTCTTAAAGGCATTTCCCCACCGTCTTTGACAAAGCAACATCTATCACTGAATCTCCCAGCCTGTCTACTTTACACCAACATGCTTTGTTCTGTATCCATTATAACCTCTTGCCATCGAAGCAGTCAGCAGAGATAGACCAGATGTAAGCCTAACACTCTGTTCTTTGTCTCTCTGACAGTCGGAGTAGCATTGCAATTCAGCCATATCTTCTATAAAGCGACATGTTGCTGATCTTTACTGAACTACAGTTCCGGGGAAATCTCCGCAGTGAGAAATCTGCAATCTAACGGCAGTGTCACTGTTAAACCCCTTTTTTAGTGTTTTCAGCCTTGGTATTACATTTGATTCTACCATGAAGCCAGCTACAGACTTTGTAAAAGCACCTTTCTTTATCTCTGCAACATTGCTCAATTTCATCCTCTACTTAGTTTAAAATAAGCCAAAACCCAGGTCCATGTTTTCATAACCTCATGATTAGATTACTGTAATTCTCTCTGTTATATCACCATTGGTTATTGGGAGCTTTTATTCTGACAATTAAAAACATAAATGAACCAAGTGCTTTCTGCACATCTCCTGGCAATCATAAGGTACAACAGAGGGGCTGAGGAAGGGAACAGCAAGCAGAGGCAGCAAGTCAGATTGAGGCGGAGGCAGAGAGACCATAAGGCTGGGGAAGGGGGGGAGGGTGTTTGATGCTGTCATACTGGACAGCTTTGCATTTCCAGTGACTCTATTCTCATACAGAGCGCAGTACTCCACTAGAACTCTCCAGAGACTCCAGGGTAGAGGGTAAGCACTGCAGGAAACGCCACTGCACTGCAGCAGTACACTGAGGCTCGTCAAAGATTAAATGACTTTGCTGGACCAGAGGTCCTTAATGTCTCATCAGTGAGGACAAAACAGCTTTAATTCAGCATTCTCTCTGTTCTGAGACAATTCATTTATTGCTTACTTTTTAGTCATCATCAGGCCTATCCTACATACATCAGGAGGAAGTGAATTCAGGACTCCTTTCAGTGTCATAACATTTGCCCTGGGGATTTATGCCTCCTTCCAAATCTCTCACTAAAGTCCTCAGGCTCGGAATAGACACTCTATTTTTTATAAAATGTACATTTCTTGTCTGTTGAACAGAATTATTTAGGAATGTCATAAAATATTGTTATATTGATTATAAATCAGCACACTACTTTATCAAAAAGGTATGGGCGCTTAAATATATGATAACATTAAAATGGCAGTCCATTTTTCAGTTTCCAGTACATGCTGTTCAAATTTAAGTCTATAGAATATACACATATTCATTCAGGCATGACTTCACATCACCTTGCAAAGTATGTACAGGAAGATAAAGAACATGAATGAATTTATTCATAGGAGAATTTACACAAGAAATGTAGTATTAATTAAAACCCAGTTTGGAAAAACATTCATATCCTTTAAAAGCTCCTGAGTTTGTGGAAATGTACATATAAGGAGAGCACTGTGAACCAGGATGGCATTTACCAACATATGCATGCAAGTATGAAGAAAATCAGCATTACTGAAACTTTTGTAAATATGTAAATTTTGTAAAATTCTGGCAGGAATTTTTAGTTAGGCTTGGCCTACCAAAACATTTACACACAACTTTACTAAAAGATGGCTAAATAAGACTGATTAAAATGAATCGTAATGAATTTTGCAGTATATCATATAACAGACTGTCGGAATAAAATGTACACCAAAAATAAAACATATCAGACATATTTGTCCAGCTATATCAGAGTAAGGGAAAAATTACATTATAAAATTAAGTCATTTCTGAATGCTGAGGACAGTAGACCTCTAAGCTTTCACTTCCAGCCACAGTGCAAGCTGAAGAAAGAAAAGTCTGGGTGAATGTTTTCTTCAAAGGGAATTTTCAGATGAATATCAAAAAACTTGGCAACAACATTCAAGGCTTTCTGTCAGTGATATTCTATACATGTTCCAGTATTTACTTTGATCTATACTCCTTGATGAGATGATGAAAAGGCACCCAGATCTTGCTCATTTTAGCCAAGGCATCATAAACTAAGCAAACTTTCACCCATGAAAATCCATCTTGTGTTAGGGACACATTGCACCATGTACAGCTTTCCATGGTTCCACACAAAGATATAATGTTATAATGGGGAACTTGTAAATGTTAACTAGTAGAATTGTTGTTTGCCATTAATTGTGAAACACACAGACAACTGAGAGAACTCTTAATCACTTGAAAATAGCACTTTCAGGAGATTGTCATCGAACAGAGAAAAGCTAAGGAACTGCATGAGGCAGACCAGTGGGCTGAAAGGCTGAAGAACAGTTGACCTCCCCAACACAGTTATTATATTTAGTCTGTGTGAACATTTTTCTTATCCTATCACATTCTGTTGTGCTAATTTTCCCTCCCAGGTCTGACCTGAACACATACCAACAGCAAAAACTGCATGGACCTGTCCATCTCAACTTCTCCAAAGGAGGAGCAGACAAATATTTAAAAAAAAAAAAAATCTTCTGACCTGGATCAAATGGCCTGAATAAGAAAACATGGGCAAAGGTGTCCATGTTTTCCTTAAAGGTGTCCATAAATAAAATAGCAGCAGTAGCACCATATGCCCTACAGATGGGAAGTCTGGCTTTGCATTCCATTATTAGAAAAGCAGATATTGCTCTTATATAAGCTTTTCTTATAAGCCAGATAGAGAAAGTAATATATGCTGTTGGGCACCATATGCAAACTTGCAAGACTATCATATTTACTTGCCACTAACTGCTTCAAACAATGCACTGTTTAAAGATGGGATACTCAGTGAGTCAGCTGAAAATTTGTTTTCCAGTCAGAAACTAGTGCATGGAAATGTATATGCATGGAAGTGCAAATTACCAACCAGCAATATTATGAAGCTTGTGGCTCGATAAGTGTACAATAAGCACAATAATAAGTATAATAAGTGGGCTGTGGGTGGAGCGTCTGAGATCAATACCACTCTCAGATTCTCATTGGTCTAAGATTGGTCTAAACTCGTTGCTGTGTTCTATCTCGGTACAAACTTCCATTACTATATTTTCATTTTGTCCCAGTCCACCGAGACATAAAAAAAAAAATCCAACTTGAACAAATTGCAAATCAATATTTATAATTAATGTCATTAAATCCAAAATGCCAAAATGTATTTTTAGAATTAGCTTACTATTTAGCTGAAGTTTTGGTTTTAACAAAACTTAGATCAACTTGTCAATTTAAAAACTTTGGTTTTTAACACTTATTTTGGTTTACTGATGGTTACTACTGGGTCCCTGGAAGACTAGTGGTCAGGCCTTGGCGCTCTCACTGCTGTGGCCTGGGTTCGATTCCCGGCCAGGGAACCAACCCCAGATACTGGGCTTGCATGCAACAGTGCGCTCTCAGTGCCGGTCCCAAGCCTGGATAAAACTGGGGAGGGTTGTGTCAGGAAGGGCATCCGGCATAAAAACTGTGCCAAATCAAATACGCGGACCAGTGATCCGCTGTGGCGATGCCTAACTGATGGTTATTACTACATTACCCATAATGCCATTAGACTAATGGCACGTGAAGAGACTGCTGCAGCGGCGCTTTAATCTTTTAGTCTGTCCAGCTCTCTCACCTCCTCATCTGTAAACTTTCCTCAAACAGGCAAGCTTTTAAAGCTTAATGCTAATACAATCATCAACTTCGTCATGCTTGTCATCTTATAGATCACTAATATTTGTTGCTGCCTGTATCCCCTGACTCAGCACAACTGCAACATATAGCTGCATTGCATTCTGGAACTTTGAATCCAATTTTTGTTTGTCTCCACTACTTCTATGATGGATTTCTCATTAATATGACATTAGAAATGTTGAGTGAGAAAAGAAGTTCTAGCTCTCGTTTTAAGAGCTAACAGCAAAACCTGACTCTTATTTCTTATGTTTGAGATCACCGAAAGCTTTTCTCCTATTAGACACCACCGTAATGGTGCTAGCAATGTCTCCATGGGACATCAGATTGGCCCTAACTTCTCACAGGAATAAAACACAGCACCAACCAACAAATCAGCACTATTTAGTGTTTCAGGGTGGACTTTTCCTTTAACACACATCTTCTTCACCAGGACCTTTTTTTTTCCCTTAAAACTATTATGCAAAATAGATGAGTAATATAAAGGTAGGTCAGTAGCAGGTCAGGGGATATTTCTAGACTTCAACTCATCTCTGCTGTAGAGACGGTGCAGGAATAGTGTGTGATTCAGTTATTTGGCCCAAATGCACAGTGACAGCTTCTTCATCCAAGCCTGTTTCTTGTGCAGTTCCCCTGCATCCCCATGACTAATTCATTTATGTCCCTAAAAATGGCCTGCTCCATTAATGACCTTCAAAAGACCTTCCCTTGTAGAGAGACAGAAGGAAAAACATTGCATAGCAACACACAGAGCTGACAAGATTATTTAAGACACCACTCTGAGATGAAAACTGGTAAGAACAAGAAATCTCATTTTAAAAGCTTTACTTCAGGTCAAATGGCATCTACTGCTAAATTTTACTCATCATACACAGGCACTTCCAGTCTACAAAAACCGGGATTATACTGCAACACAATGAGATTGCTATAGGTCAATATGTTAAAACAGACTGGTGAACCCTGATTACATAGAGCACAGGAGTTAAACTCTAGCGCTGCAAACCAAACACAACCCGCTGACTGGTTTCATTCAGCCTGTACAAACTTGCAAAGAACAATATTGAAATGTCTCATTCATATTCAACATTTTCACACTAAACCAGTAATGTCTAGAATTCACACCAGACCCGTAGCCTCGAGAACGCATCGGCTCACGTCTCAGGGATTGAAACGCTGCTTAAAATGAATGCTAGGTCAGACCTGTGTCTAAAACCAATTCAGAAATGCATCAAGTGTGATTTAGTGACTCACTCCAAATCCCCAAATGCATCACCCAGTGTAGACACCTACAAATATGTTGAAAAAAGAAAAGTTGATGGAGCAATAGAAGACGAGAGACAGGAAGAGTTCTTACATCTGTTTCATAACGTTACATATTTTAGATATTTATAAAATGTTAGAAAACTTTAGTCAATACAAAAATGTTATCACCTAATAGTGCATACACTTGAATACTTTCCATTAGCTGTTCTTTTTCCTAGAAAAGTCCTATTCTGCTTTCGGAGCCTATGTTATTGGTGTTCTTTAGAATAGATGATAACTAAGAAATGAATAGCTTTAGTTTATAGCCCTTCAAGGCCTCAGAAATGCTGAAGTGGCCAGGCCAGAATTTGCGTTCAACACCCTTGACATAGAGACTGGCCTGTATAAACTGAAACATAATTACCATTTTAATTATTTTATAAATTTTTTGTGCTTCATACTAGTACAACAATATCCCAGAGCACATAGAAATCTTATCTGTAACCCGTGTCATGGCCAGAGTACTCACCAAACCAATTACATACTTCATATTTCCTTCCTCCATGATATGAGCATTGCTAAGGCCATTACTGCAATAATACGCAGTGAGTACAAATCCTACTACTGTCAACACGGTGTTCATAAGAATCCACACCATCCATTGGGGATGAGTGCACCACCAAAGAACAAATAGTTTGTATTTGTCATGGCTACATACCAAAAAGAGTGTCTCATTTGTTTTCTGTTTACCAGCGTTATTTCACACCAGTGTATTCCAAATTGCTATAGTTCCCACACACACTTAAGCTACATTTTTTATTGATTTTGCTCTAGAAAGAATGACTAACTGAGAACTGGACAGGGGTTCCTTATGGGAACAAGATTTTGAGTCATATGAGAACCCACATCTTTAAAGCAAGAACGGTGGCAAAGATGAGACATCCTTTCAGCTTGTGCACACACACACACACACACACACACACACACACACTCTTTAGTGCTTTACTCCTCTAGAGAATTTTTTTTTTGGTGCCCTGTTTAGCTGATTTCTGCTAATTGTTTTGTTGTACTAGCCTTGTTGCTGTGATTTACGTTCCGGTCAGTACGTTTGCTTTCACTGTTAAAACCAAATGTTTTAAAAAACAAATTATTCCAAAGATAAAATTTCCTCATAAAACCTATTAATAATTCAGCCTTTGTAACATCCCACCAATTAAACCAAAATCCAAAAATCAGTTCAAAATTTTGAAGGCAATTCCACTGACATTCAATGGATTTTTATGACGGTGTGCATCTGTAGAGGTAGTAAAACAGAACGAGCCAGTAGACTCCCTGGATATATTCATCCTAAATCTCCTGTCTCGTTAAGCGATGAACAAGAAAAATGACTTCCGATCAGCATGATTAACACAGCAAACTGGAAACTGTCAGTAGTTCCAGCGTGGAAGGAATCCGACGGCCCCCCAGGCAACAAGCCGAAAAATGAATGGAGATTTCAAAGGCTACTGTACACACATAATATTCAAAGTCTACTGTCCGCACACTGAATTTCTCTGTTCCACTGTGTGCAGAGTACACGTAGCTAACAGGATGAAATAGAGGATTCATTCTCATTGAAAGATCTTCTGGAAGACATTCTCCCAGTAAAAAATTGTCATGAATATCCATAACTCTGTATCTGAGGTGACTACAATATACATCAATGACATACTGGAGAAATGATCAATTAAGAAGACACTGATTCAATAATGAGTATTGCTATCGGGTCAGTCTGAGCATGTCTTTTCCTGGATTTTTTTATTTTTTTTTTAATCCGGACAAGTACTTAATGCTGTGAATAAGCCTTTTGAATTTAAGGGCTTGAATCCTTAAATTCAAAAGTCTAAAATGTGTTCACTAACCTATGGTTAGCAAGCTCATGCATCTTCTTGATTCTTTTACCCTTGTACAGTCTATTAATAGTCCACCACACAATCAAGGCCACATTCCCAATCTTATTTTATTATTATTATTGTTATTATTATTATTATTATTATTATTATTATTATTATTATTTATTCACAGCATTCAAACAGACTATGCAATGGCATGCTGCCATTTACCTTTAGCATGCCATTAATCTCAAAAAACCTCAGTTCCCAAAATTCCTGGCTGCCAGTATCCGCCCATAAACTAACATACAATATCAGTTATTTTTCAGATGTCTACATAAAGAACTTCATATTAAGAAGTTCCATTGTGTCTGTATCATCTTAGCTTGGAGCCAATGATATAGTTCCCACTTGTACACTCTGCTTGCTCCACCATCCTCGACTCTGTTGCTTCTTTCATGACTAGACGAACTATGCTCAGAGAAGAGCATCGGAAAACAGAGTGCAAATAGGGAAGAAAAAAAAAGATGCTGCAGTTATTTTACATGATTTTACAAACTGCCTGTTTTTCAGAAACTGCTCCTCACTCGAGCCCGTATAACACAAGAAAAGCTGACTTACTGACACTTCTGTTTTTGGGATTCCTTCACACAACCCTAAGCACAACCCTCATGCAACTTCTTATAAGCACTTGAGTCTGTTGTTACATCTGAGGTCTGAATACTAACATACACAATTACAGTGTTCACACCTCAGTACCTGTGTTTAACTCTGAATACAGCCCCATATCCATATCCCTTCTTCCTATTCTCTACTGGCCTCTGTGCATTACTGTATGAAGGCATTAAGACAGATGGATGCACGGAAAACCTGAAAACATAATGCCTTCGCCACTTAGTGGCGGAGGTATAAAAAAAGTATTTAGGCAAACCATGTCTTTTCTGTGCGAATATCTATTTAATGGTGTTATAAAATCTTGCAATACACTTTACAATAGTAGACCTGCTGTTAGACATTGAAAGCAGTGTGTAGGGTTTGAAAGAGGAATATTTTGCATTTGGGGGCTGCTTTAGGAATGCATCTGGCAACCCTGTCAAACAGAAAAAAAAATAAAGAATAGCAGTGGTGACACTATGCACCGATGCGGGTGTGGGAGTGTAATAAAAAAATGGATAAGAGACGAGGAAGCCGAATGGCATGAATGAGATTCACCTCAGAATGAATTTCACCTGCTGCTCTCACAACTGCAAGCAAATGAGCACATCAGGTTCCACTGTCAGCCAGGAACAGGAACATGAGGCTAGTGTGGGCACAGGCTCACTGAAACTGGACAGTTGAAGACTGGAAAAATGTTGCCTGGTCTTTCTGTAATCTTCAACCGGCCAGTTCTGGTGAGACTGTGCAATAACCATGTCAAGATCTAAGTCACTGAGAGCAATGATTTCCCCATTCTGATGTTTAATGTGAACACTACCTGAAGCGTTTGATCTGTATTTTCATAATTATATCCATTGCACTGATGACACATGATTGATTGGATAAATGCATGTATGAGCAGGTCTAGATGTGTT